TTTTTAAAAAAAAAAAAAAAAAAAAAAAGCAAAAAACTAGTTTTTTTTTTTGAAACATTCAAAAAAAAAGACGTTATTTCAACGAGTATTTTAACGTACAGCTCCACAAGCGCCCATACGAGGAACACCAGCGACAACATCTTCATTGCCGTCACTGTTGAAGTCTCCAACAGCGGTCGAGAATCCTGAAATTACTTACCATTTAAAATCAAACCGTTTGCTGTTGAAAAAAAAAAAAAAAGAAGAACTCAACGACAACATGCCATGCATGGAAAAAACTTATCTTTGATCTAACACTGATTCAGCATGTAAGTCAGTTAAGGAATAATTAGACAAAAAGTTGCATGCCTAGATATGTGTTGTCGTATTCAGCATTTTGTGCCAACGTGTTTGGTCTGTCGTTCTTGTCTCGAACATTTTGAGAGAATATTGAACCTTGTAAATAGTATGCTCCTGGAGCACCAACATATACACGATTCATATATTCAGGAACAGCTGCACTGTGCCCACAGAGACCAAATCCCAAACGATGATATCCAGTAAAAACTTCATCGTGTTCTAAAACAGAAGCACACATGAATAAACACATATATCAATCTTACGGCATAAAAACTTCAGAAAAATGCATTTGCAAATACGAAAAAAAGATTTCTGCTAATCTGCAACCATATTCAGCCGACTCGTACTTCAAATTATAAACAAGTAAGCACAAGCAGATAAACTATCAAATTAAGTGTTAAAAAAACGTTTCCTTGAAGCAAACAGTTTCTGTTTCTTTTGAGTATTGACCTCAACTTTTTTTACTTTCTGCAAGTGCTAAAAAGTCAAAATAAAAATCATCAAAATTTTTTTTTCTCTTTTCTTGTATTATATTAATAGCCTAATTTGTTGTAATTGGCAATATTTGCAGTTCAATAACTGGAGGCAACACACAGTTGACCTGTAATCAATTCTTTACGCTATTTCTGGTAATTGTGTGGCAGACAACTGTTTCTGTTGTATTGCACACTTCAATATCTTGTCTTTTTTTTTCTTTTTTTTTTTTTGCTCAATGCTCAGTATCACAATAAAGAAAGAAAGAGTAACATCTTACTTTCTTTAAGGCATGGAGCAAACTGAGTGAAATTATCGAAACTTCTATCAACGTAGAAGCAACGTCCGACTGGATCGCGCAGGTCAAATTTTGAGAAGAAGTATGTATAGTGCGGAGCACATGCCTGAAAAAGTCAGAAAACTGCAATTCACAAATGGTATAATCAAATAGGTTTCCAAATTTTTACAGAAATATTTTTTTCTGAGAACAAATAATTTTTAATTTTGTTCATTACAAGTATAAAAAAAATGTCATTGCTAAGGTGAAGACAAACCACAAATTTGTCTCCTTTTTTTGATGAAACCACCGTCGATCCCAGACGTTCTTTCGACTTTTCCTCAATTTGCCGTGACTCTAAGCCATGCAGTTTTTCTTCATTTCCTGTAACAGATCGCTACACTTTCTTTTTTTGCTCTTATTTAAAACTTCTAATAATATCAATAATGTTAATTTCTATTAAACAGTATATATTGCTGTGCTTTTATTCTTTTCTTCCGCACTTCTGTCGTTTGGCCGTTATTGTCAACCAGTGCTTTGTAACCAAAACAGATGGTTAACAATTTTTAAAAAATCAGAAATTATAATTTATAAATTTTTTGTTGTTGTTGTTGTTACTGTTGTTTATTTTATTTTATATTTGCCCACTCTCCCCATTCTGCTAACACTATTGAAAAAATGCTTTAAAGTATGCCTGTATCAGAAGCGAAAATAAAAAGTAATAAATTTCGATGACTTTTAAACTATTTTACCGGATTATAAATGTGCTCTAATCGTCA